CAATACCACGCACGCCCTGAGCATATATAAGCCTATGGGTCCACCCAAGGTGTGATCAAGTCACTACCACCTAGGTACCCATTCCATCAAGCCTATGGGTTCACCCAAGGTGTGATCAAATCACTACCACCAAGGTACCCATTCCATCCATAACACCTGAGACATTCCTAGTGTGCTCCTATCCGGATCACACACTATGACCCTCGGTCAACTGGAACTCCCTCTCGGAGACCTATCCAGTGGAAGTTCGTACTGCCAACAGGCTAAACTAGTCTACTGGCCAGAGACTCGGTACATAAGTACCCAATTTCATGCATATTCATCACACCATTACTCATAACCTAAAATAGGCCTAAAGCCCTTCCATCGTACCATGTCATGCATCAAGTACAATTACAATATTTGCTTTACAACTTACAAATTGAAACTTAAACTTTAACTTACATTCTTCCAATATTACAACTTAAATACAAATGACAACATAACCAAATACATAACTACTAGACTTAGGCAAAATGACATGAACAAATATGCTAATGAAGCTCATACCACATACATATGAGATGTTCATGCCCTAAGTCTAGCCTAGGCCACACGGCCAACAAAATGCAAAATGTGAAGCACTCCACTGCTCACTCTACGGGCCTTTTGCCCGCTGCTCTGGCTCCACTGCTACCTCCTGAAATAAATGCCCCGAGACGGGGTGAGATATACGAATATATCTCAGTAACCAAGAGGTTCTGGAGAAAACTCCACCCAATGGTTCACTTCGATGCATATCAATAGAATAAAACAACCACTTTGAAAACGGGATATAGCAAGGGATTTAGAGAAACTGGGGGATATCGGAATACAAAATACGACGATGCAGGATGGTAGCTACCAATACCACGCACGCCCTGAGCATATATAAGCCTATGGGTCCACCCAAGGTGTGATCAAGTCACTACCACCTAGGTACCCATTCCATCAAGCCTATGGGTTCACCCAAGGTGTGATCAAATCACTACCACCAAGGTACCCATTCCATCCATAACACCTGAGACATTCCTAGTGTGCTCCTATCCGGATCACACACTATGACCCTCGGTCAACTGGAACTCCCTCTCGGAGACCTATCCAGTGGAAGTTCGTACTGCCAACAGGCTAAACTAGTCTACTGGCCAGAGACTCGGTACATAAGTACCCAATTTCATGCATATTCATCACACCATTACTCATAACCTAAAATAGGCCTAAAGCCCTTCCATCGTACCATGTCATGCATCAAGTACAATTACAATATTTGCTTTACAACTTACAAATTGAAACTTAAACTTTAACTTACATTCTTCCAATATTACAACTTAAATACAAATGACAACATAACCAAATACATAACTACCAGACTTAGGCAAAATGACATGAACAAATATGCTAATGAAGCTCATACCACATACATATGAGATGTTCATGCCCTAAGTCTAGCCTAGGCCACACGGCCAACAAAATGCAAAATGTGAAGCACTCCACTGCTCACTCTACGGGCCTTTTGCCCGCTGCTCTGGCTCCACTGCTACCTCCTGAAATAAATGCCCCGAGACGGGGTGAGATATACGAATATATCTCAGTAACCAAGAGGTTCTAGAGAAAACTCCACCCAATGGTTCACTTCGATGCATATCAATAGAATAAAACAACCACTTTGAAAACGGGATATAGCAAGGGATTTAGAGAAACTGGGGGATATCGGAATACAAAATACGACGATGCAGGATGGTAGCTACCAATACCACGCACGCCCTGAGCATATATAAGCCTATGGGTCCACCCAAGGTGTGATCAAGTCACTACCACCAAGGTACCCATTCCATCAAGCCTATGGGTTCACCCAAGGTGTGATCAAATCACTACCACCAAGGTACCCATTCCATCCATAACACCTGAGACATTCCTAGTGTGCTCCTATCCGGATCACACACTATGACCCTCGGTCAACTGGAACTCCCTCTCGGAGACCTATCCAGTGGAAGTTCGTACTGCCCGCAGGCTAAACTAGTCTACTGGCCAGAGACTCGGTACATAAGTACCCACTGTGATATATGCATGCATGCCAATGCTGTTCTACTCTACTCATACACACTTCCTACCGTTGCCATCAACTGGCAAGGTGGAACAGAAAAAGGGAACAAGCCCCCGTACCAAGAGGTTACCTTAAATATTGTTTTTACAAGCTCCGCAGCAGCTTATCCCTCAACTCGGTACATAGCAGAATGCCTACACAGAGGACATTCCCAATCACTTATAGTTCAACCAATACATGCTAATTTGCAATTATACATGCATTGAACCAATTACTTACCTCAATCCTCTTGGTCCCGGACCAAGGGCAGCTCACTGATTCAAGATTCGGGATTCAGGTCGACGTACGGCAACCTATACAATGACATACAACCATCAGTACGCGTCAAATAACATCAAAACACCAAAAATCACAAAATCACCTCACCCACACTTGGTAGGTTCGGCCATCCTAGGCTTAATTCCAATTTTATTTTTCTAAATTTTCTTTTTCATTTTATTACGCCTCAATAGGTTGTCAAGTGGCCAATTCAAGTGCCGGTTCATCATTTTCGCGTCGAATTACATCAGAACGCGAAAACCGCAAAATTTCTCCCTTCTTCCTTGAAGGTTCGACCAAGCATGTGTTAATTGGGGATTTATTTTTCTAAATTTTCTTTCTCATTTTAGTACCCATCCTTGGGTTGCCATAAGGCCATTTCAACTGTCGTTTCGCTGTTTTACGACATTTACGCATCGTATTGCGAAATATTTCACTCTAGGTTCTTTATGCCAACTAAACCACTTATTATTTTTCCATTGATTCTAACACTTGCCAACCACCACACAACCCATCTAGTTATCATATAAACACACAACACATAATTCAAATCATTTTTCAACATCAATTTACTCATTTCTCCTCAAAGGTTCGAATTTTGCCCTATGACATTCCAAGGAATTTCCATTCAATTTTAATCACTCCAACCTTCACACAACCTATTATATCACCATATTATCATACCACAATTCATCAAACAAAGTCTCAAAAACAAAATTCACAAGTCCAAAGTCATGATCACCAAATTTTTCTAAGTTAAGTTCATCAATTTTCACCAATAAATTTCATCGCATTTCTAGCTCTAATACATCATTCTAACACATCATCTAATACACATTTTCAAATTGAGCTCTCTAACATCACAATTCATCAAATCAAAGTTTAGGGTTCAATAATCCAATCTCATGAATCAACCAATCAAAAAGTGTGGAACTTACACAAATGCTAGGCAATGGACTCCTCCTACACATACTCCACTATTGGAGCATTCCAAAGCTCCATGAACACCCAATTCCTCCTTGAACTCGCGGCTGAAAGAGGGAAAGATCTCCTCACACACTCAATTTCAAGGCTCAAGAAGGGTACCAATGGGTTTAGAAGGTTCTCCCCAACAAATTTCAACACAAGAATCAAGTGATTTGGTGGAGAAATGGCCAAGTTATGGTCCAAAGAAGAATTTGCACAATGAGAAAGGGGGAGGGGGCTGGAGCTCGGGTTTGGGGAGAGAAAAGGAAGGGAGGGTGATGATGAATAGTGGAGTGATGAGATGTTTAAGTAACTTTCAAGTGGGGTGGGTCCCACGCCACCTCACGCGATTTAAAACGCGTCTAAACTTTCACTAAACGTCTGTAAATTCAAGACTTATTTAGAAACTCTAATTTTTAACATTCACTATTCTCCTTTAATTACCCTTGATCAGATGAATTCAGAGTCCTCCATTCGTTCGGAGAAAACACTGTTTTAAGCTATAGCGCGCGCCGTTGGCACGCTTCCCCAAAATGACTTACTTTCATCAATTTTTATCAACAATCATATTTCCAAACTCAATAGACCATTTGTAACTCATATTTAAAACCTAGAGCTCAAAATTCAGCTGGCACATTTTACGGTGCAATCGAAATGCTGTATTTTTACACGCGAAAAACACTATTCACTGATTTTTCTAAAACTTGCCTGTCAACTCAATTTTTCGTTCTGAATCCATTTCCAGGGTTATTTTTATCATCTGAGACCTTCTACTCAATTTTTTTTTTTGATAACATTCTACTCAATTTTTATCCTCCTAGGGTTGTGTGTTGGCTAATTACCATTTTGCCCTTTCTTTGTATTTTGGCCTAATCTTTAGGATTTTCACTAATTCATCACTTGATTGCTCACTTAATATTTTAATTACTTGATTTACAATTGTGAGGTGTTATAATGCTCCACCTCTAAGATCGTGAATTCGCAGTGCAGAACGGAGGAGGTGGAATCTGGAAAGTTCATCCGAAAATGCGAGAAAACGGAAGAGTTTTACCTCCTATTTAAAACATTCTTTGCTTTCTTACTCATTCTCCTTTCCCTATCAAAATTCTTAGAATTTCATTCTCATTCTATTTATGACCATAGGTCCTCATCATTACTCATCCACTTTTCCTATAGTGCATGGAATGCTGAAGCTCCCTGGATCCTTGACTTTGGTAGGTAACTTATTTTTGATGATCGCATTACATTCCTCCATCAGATTCACCGTCTCACATTCCTGCAACTTACGCTTCCTTGATAATAGATCCTTCATGAACCTTGCGTAGTTGGGCATGTTCTCTAAAGCTTTGGCAAAAGGAATGTTGATATGCAACATCCTGAATATGTCTAGAAACTTTTAACATTGCTGCTTCTGAAACTCTTTCTTTAATCTATGAGGATAAGGGATTCGAGCATATGGGGAGAGATCTAATGGCTTGTTCTGTCTTTCTAGAGCTTTCTTCTTCTCCCACTTGAATAGTTTCTTTTCGACTTTTTCAGGATTGCTTTTGTCAACTTCAATTGTATCATTTTCCTTTTCTTCCTTCTCTTCTTCAACTGATGCTTCTCCATCCTTCTTCTTTTCTTCGGGCTGCTCCTCTATATGTTGAATCACTGTCCCACTCCTAGTGGTGATAGCATTGCAATGCTCCCTTGGATTAACAACTGTGTTGCTTGGATAAGTACCCTGAGCTCTCTCAAAAAATTGCTTCGACAACTGGCCAATCTGAATTTCCAGATTTCTTATGGAAGCTTCTTGATTCCGGTGTGCTGATCTAGTCTCTTGCATGAAAGCAGATGTGTCCTCTCTGAAAGCATTTGCACCTTGAACATAATCAGAAGTGGTCTTGAATAGCTGTGCAAAAGCTTTCTCCCACTCAGAAGTGTTACTTTGTTGTGGGGTATCTGGTTGCACTGGAAGGGGAGGATTGAGCTGATGGTTGGATTTGTGACTCAACCCTGGATGTTGATTCTGATTCTTATGATCATACCAGAGTCCATTGACCTCTACTGGTGGCTTTTCCGCTGCTCTTATGTATTCACAATCCTCAGTTGCATGAGCCTCTTCACAAATACCACATTTAATATTAGAATTAGAAACAAAAGAAACTTGAGAAAGATTAAATTTTTTATTAAGGGCATCTAATTGTTCTTGTTGTTTCTTGTGCATTTGTAGCATTTGTTCATTTTGGGCTAAGAGTGCATCATAGCCGTCAAGCTTCATAATTCCTGCTCTCTTTTGTGCAACTGGGGCAGTGGCATTGTCAAATTCCTGAGAAGTTAGAGATTCCAGTAACTCCAGCGCTTCCTCTGGAGTTTTTGTTTTCAGGGATCCTTCTGCAGCAGCATTCACCAGTGTTCTTGTGTTGGATGTCATCCCTTGGAAAAAGATTCTTGCCTTCTCCCTTGCTTCAATTCCATGTTGAGGACACTTCCTGAGTGTTCCTTTGAATCGTTCACAGGCCTCGTACAAAGACTCGCTTTCTTTTTGTTCAAAAGCAGTGATCTCCGCCTTGAGCCTTGCCATCTTTGAAGCTGAGAAAAATCTAGCCAATAATTTTCTTGCTAAGTCATCCCAATCGGTTATACTTCCTTCAGGTAAAGACTGCAGCCAATCTCTTGCGTCATCCTTCAGTGAGCATAGAAATAGCCTGAGCAAGATAACATCACGAGGAACTCCATTTACTTTTAATGTATCACAGTAAAGTAAGAAGTTATCGAGATGACTATAGGGGTTCTCCATGCTTCCTCCAGCGAACTATTCCAGTTGCAGCAGTGCCAACTTTAGTTCAAAGTTGTTAGCTTCTATGGTTGGTCTAACAATGCTTGCCGTCTGTGGAACTCGAGCTGGGGTCATGCAATCTCCCAACGTCCTTGGAGCGAGTTGATTGTTTTCTGCCATTGGTTCCTCCTTAGGTTCCGTCGAAGTTGAGGTTTATGTTTCCTTCGCTTTCTTTGCTTTTGCGTCCTTCCTAAGTTTCCTCTCTGTCTTTTCTATCTCAGGATCAAACTACAAGATTCGCGGGTTAAGAGTACCTCGCATAAACTAAGATTGAAAAGATGTGCAGAAAAAATAGAAAACGCAAAACAGAAAAAAAAAATTTAAATATGCAGAAAATTGATAGAGAATTTTAATGCAGAAAAATATTTTTCAAGAATGTATAAAGTGCAGAAACTTAAAACGTCCAATCTAAAAGTTAATTAGATACTTCTAATGTTGAAGAATTCGATCCCCGACAGCGGCGCCAAAAACTTTATAGCGACTCGGCAAGTGCACCGATCGTGAAAGTAATAAAGTGTACTGAGTACGAGATCGTTCCCACGAGGATCAGAATTTTCAAGCACTAGTTCGCTAATTGCGTTTTAGTTGGACAATCAAAGGTTTGGTTTGAGAGAATTTAGATGAAAAGAGTTGTGGTTCAAAGAACTTAAAATTAAAAACAAGTAAAGGCATGCAATTTGAAAATTCAGAATTAAAAGGATGAATGAAGATGATGTTTGATTAAGATTTAAAACAAGCGTAGTTAAGGTTTCGACTTCCCCCAATATCCTCAATATGTTATGAATTAAACAGTCAAGAATCTGTTTCTTAATATATTGCCAGTAAATTCTATCTAAGTTAATTAGGGCTCAATTCCTTCTTACCCTAAATCTATGTAATCTTGAAAGAACTCTAGTTCCCCGATTATTCCCCAAGAAAACATGCATTAAGATCAAGAATTACAAAATTGCATAATTACCCTATGTCTATTCCTATTCCTATTCCTAGATCACAATGATTATGATAAATTATCAAGTCAAGGTTCATGCACCAACATCCCTATTGTCATACAATTCCCCAAAATTATTCTATAAGGAACAAACTCATAGAAAGCATTAAAAATAGATAATTTATTCAATTATAAAAAGAACAGGATTCAAAGACAATTTAATTCATAAACATAAAGATTCAATTGGGTTCCATCTACCCTTAACTACATAAAAGACTACTGTAGCATACTGAATTGAAAAACAATAATAAAGAAAAGAGAACCCCAAGCCTCCATTGGTGTGAAGTTGACTTGGTTCCTCAGTGTTCCAGCGCTCCGCAACACGATTCCTCCTCTGTGGCTTGAATGGTGAATAGGTTTCTGAATTGGTGTCTATGTCTGACCCCAAGCTCTTTATTTATAGCCATTGGAGGTTGTATCCTTCATTGCATCTCTTGCCGTATCCATATTAGATTTGTAATTGATTCTCCAATTGTTTCCTTTTTGCAATTAATATCTTGTGGATTGGTTGAGAGATTTGAGCTTTGAATCTTGTATAATCTTCCTTCAATCTTCTATGGTATCAGCTTTGATATGTTTCCGTATTAGTTCCATATCATAATTGGACAAATCTTCATTAAATCTCAGCAAATCTTGGTGCATATTTGCTGTCAGGTCTGTGTTTGGGCACTGAAGCGCGCTACAGGGCGCTTGAGCGCCCTGAATTGCTGAAAATTGTTGTTGCTGCCTGCCTGAGCGCGCTCGAGCGTGCTCCTTAAGTTCGAAATTATGTCTTCTTGGGCGCTTGAGCGTGCAACTGTGCGCTTGAGCGTCCTGATGTGCCCAATTTTGCTGTTTTTCCTGCTTCCAAACGCTCGAGCTTCCTCTTGTGCGTTTGAGCGTGCTTTCCTGGACCTTGAATTGTAGTATGTTGGTTTCCTTTGATCCATATTGAGCCGCTACTTCTTCGTCATGATTTCTTTAGCACTTTTAGCACCAATTCTTGTGGTTTTACCTTAAAAAATGCAATTTTTATCAAAACGTCAGCTCAATTTCCTATCTTACACCAAAGAAAGAGATGCACATTGTAGAGGACAACACAACCGCACAATAAAAAGAAGACAAGGAACAACGCAGAACTGAGCAACTCAACAAAGAGACGAGCATTGCACAAGACTGAAGAAGATATGAGTTATCCTCTTTTGATTTTTCAATTTTGCAGCTTCCCTTTTTTTCTTTTATTTGAATATGCATCATTCAATTGTGGCTTCATAATAGCGAAAATGATATATTATTATACATTATTTCCTTTTCTAATTTATTTTTTATTTTTTATTTTTTTCATAATAGCAGGAGACAGCTGTATTAAATTTCCATCTATTATATACTTAAAAGGAGAACCAAAAAAACTGATGTGTCAAGCTCTAATGCAGTTTCACACTGTGTGTTCACACTTGCATGTCAATTTTAAAAAAAATTGCATAATAAGTTTTTAATTAAATCAAAAATCGAAATTAAGAAATTAGTGGGAGACATCTAATTAATGACCCACTATCATTTTTACATTGGAACTGTAAGGTTTTTAATTGTTGTATTGGAAGATGGAAGGTTCTTTACTAATGTTACTTGAAAATAGAAAACTCATCATTTGATATTTTCTTAGAAACTTCAAACCATTCAGACGCTTATTCTTCTACCTCCTGTGTGTTCCTTACAAAAAAATAATTATTTATTATTATTTTGTAAATCTAATTGTAATACATGAAAGTTCATCTCTGAGATAAAATATAAAAACCTAGATGCAACTATAAGAGCCTTTTTTGTGGATAAATATAAAAATCTACTACATGCTAATAGTGAGAGGCGGCCCCACCAACATATTTTTATAATTAAATTAAATTTTCTTCCTTCTTCTTTTATAATTAAATTCCTAAATCTGATTTTGATTTTTGTAAATATAAATTTGTAAAATTTCAAATACAAACGACACAAATATTTGCAAAAAATAATTATTTATTATTATTTTTTAAATCTGATTGTAAAAACGAAAGTCCATCTTTTAGATAAAATATAAAAACCAAAATGTGACTATAAGAACATTTTTTGTGGATAAATATAAAAATCTACTGCATGCTGATAGTTAGAGGTGCTAAACTGGGCTCGGCTAGGGATGTAAATGGGCCAGGCCGGCCTACAGGGGCCTATGATCTGGCCTACGAAAAGCCTGTTCTGGCCTGGCCTACGAGGTAATTAGAATATGTCAATGCCTGGCCTTTTAGCCTATAGGCCGGCCTGTTTAATATTTAAATAAAAAAATATTTTACATATTTATTTATTTATTCTAAAAGTTAGATAACCTAATTGCTTTTGTTTTAGTATGCGCCGCTCTTCTCACTCACACTATCACCCAATTTCTTCGATCCCATTTTCTCTCAAGTCAGCAAGTTGAAGTTCCTCTCCGTCGATCACCTATCTGTTCTCACCGCCATTCATGTGTGATTCGTTGCCTATTCACCACCGCAACATCTTCGTCGATTTCGATTTTTGTGATTTATCAAGGTATACAAACCCTAAACCACAAACCATTTCTCTGTTTTAGTGTTAACTTATATATAACTTCAGTTTTTTTTTAATTTAAATTTTAGATCATAAGCTGAGGTTTGAAGTTGTATTGCCAGAGTCCCACTTCTATGTTAATGTTTAAGCATTATAGTTGTTTTGTAAATGAGGTTCTGATATGAATAATCGGTTAATGAGGTTAGGAATTAGGATAAGGGTCTAGAACATAGAACTCTGTAGCAGAGAAATCATGGATGCCAATTTTCCATATGGTATGTCCATTTCTTGTTCTTGTGTATGTTCTTTTTTGGGAGTGTGAAATTGAAATGAGCTTTATGTATCAAATGAGTTATGAAATGGGATATTTAATATTTTTGAATTAATTTGTATTACATTAATTATTTATTTTAACCTAAAACACAAAAACAAAAATCGGTTCATTCTAAACTGCTTTAAATTATATTAGATTGAATCAGATTTAAATTTAGAAACAAACTAGTTAGATAATAAAAATATGACTCAAAATTCTGTATT